AAAAAAAATTGTCACTCATCTTGTATTCTGTTTACATGTACACTTAATTTTTGATATTTTGACTGTCAAGTTTAATCAGTTTACTTTTAATGACCCTACACCCCTATGTCCCAGTTGAATGGATTAACCCATCAGATTAAATAGACCATACCATTATCCAGGTGAATAGGGGCGGAGCATTTTATTTAGATATATTGTATCAAATCAAATTCATTTTGATTTTAAAATTTTCTGATTAGACCAAGCTATTAAACTATAAAATGTCGTTAAGTAAAATTGAACTAAAACCAAATAAACTAAAACATTTCTATTGTTTGAACCTTTTCACCACCAGAATTTCTTGCCCAAATTTGTCTGCACTTTTTTCTTAATTTCTTCAACATTTCTGAAAATGAACCCTAATTTTGCAGCCAGTAGACATTGACAATAGAAATTTTGGTCAATGTTCATATTTTACTCAAAAAATGTTTGCCCAATTTTCGGAAGGACTATAATGGGACTATTTTGTGAATTTGTGATGAAAAGAGAAAACTGGTGGTGAAATGGTTAATACTTTTTAATGTTATTGACAATTTTTACCATAGATTATTTTGTTCTCACTAGAATTTTGTTTTCACTTCATAAAAAAGAAATAGTTACAAAAGCCAACCAAACCAAGTGAAATTATAGTTTGAATGTAACTTGTCATAAGTTGATGAAAAAGAATTCTAGTTGAATAAAATATTCTGTAGTAATTCTCTTGACCCCTAAAGGTCACACATCCTGGTACTTTATCGGGAGATGAATTCACTAACGATAATTCATCAATAACTATTTCAAACAAAATAAATGCATTTGTCACTAAAGTTTAAAATCAGCTTAGGATGCCAAAAATTGAGGTATATTATTTGAATTTTGATATTAATATCACAAGACAATAGAAAGTGCCAGGATGTGTGACCTTTTAGAGGTCATTCTCATGGTAACTGTTTTTACATTATTACAATGCTGGAAAAAAATGAATTGTTTCACTATTTCTTACTGTATTAACTAGATATTAGACATTCATGTAATTGTTCTGCTTTAGTGAGAATGTGGCGAACCTAAATGCTGATAGTTTATTGAAATATTTGAACAGATTGGCATGACAGACTCACTATTAGCTGAATAGTTAATGTAGTTATTGTTTTGAATGGAAAGTATATAATTGTTACTTAGTTGCTGATTGCCCTATTCAATCTAATTTTATTCTCTTTTTCCATCTCCCAGGACTACTGTACATTTAGATGACAAATCAAGTTACCATAGCAACAGAAGACAATCTGGATTTTTAGTTCAGCTTACCATTCATAAATCTCTTGTTTTAAGAATTATTTGATATTTATACAATGGAAACAAATATTACCTTCAAAATGTTGGACATCAAGAAGAAGAAAAATTTCTGAGAATAAAGACTGATCTGGTTCCTTGCAGGCAAGAAATGATGGTTATGATGGTTCCGATAAACAAACGTAATCATGTCTCAATCTGATTGAGGGCAGTACTTAGTATGTTGAAATGTTCTTGAGGGGGGAAAAACAAAGTAATTCAAGATCAAACACTAGAGGGCCTCATAACTAATGTTTTTTTCAGGACTGGAGATGTCTGCATGGTCCATATATATCCTTACCCTGTGCAATATAAATCTATTTTCACTGCCAAAATTTTACCACTGCCATATTAGAATAGAGTGCAATATTTCTTATTTACACCAATGTTTTTGCATCAGTTTTTTCAGAATCCAACCTGGTGCCATTTTGAGAGTCGACCTGAATCAGATACTTTAATTTAGCATTGTGTAGAATATTTCCTTGTGTATCCCTCCACCCCTGTTTGTAATGGAATAACTCTATGGGACATACCATTATTATTATAATGGGTGGAGAGGTGCATAATTTGATGAGATTCACTTGAACAAAACAAAAACATTCCATAAGTGTAAAGATATAATTTTGATTACTGTTACGATCTGTTTCTGGTCGTAACTACCCTCATACCACAACTAAGTGCAATATTGTATTGTTTGCTCAGTGGATTAATTTTTGGTATGACACCCCTATAATATAACATGGTACAGTCCTTAGCATAGATTATCAGGAGTTACCATTTATAGGAAGGAAGTGTAGCCCTAGTTGGTGTGTGCCATGCCATAAGCTTTTTAGATGACTGAAAAAATGTTCAAAGTTTTAGAAATTAAAAAGAAAATGAGAACAAAATGGTTTTTGAAATGTATTTACCAGATTGCTAGCACAGCTTTAGTCTATCAACTAATGTTAACTTGAGATAACTAGTGTCTTCTAGCTACAAGACATATCATATTTATCTTTTTAAAAAAAAAATGGAGTTTCAGAAATCCTTTCAAAATTTACCTAATTCATCCCAAAGTGCAGTTTCCGAATGTTTTTCTTATGGAGCCCTTATCAATGAACTCCATCCAAGAAAACAAAAGAACACCAACAAAGAAATGAAAAGATTTCTGACTTCACTAATTTCTTTTGAACTTTCACCTTTGGTTTCATCTTTGACCTTTAATAGTTAATAAAACAAAAAATAAAAACAAAAAATAAATTAAAAAAATGTAGTTGCTGAATATATTACAAAACTTTTGAGATGCTGAGATTTGGTAGTCTGTATGTACGACATTATACACAGTTTTTACATGCAGCTTTATTGGATGCTTTAGTTTGTAGTAAACACTTTATCTCCCAAATTTTATATAATTGAACTTGAATGAGGATATCTTGGTTTGTGTTTGTCTTTTTATGAGACTCCTTTAAAAAATTCACAAATGTGCAATATCTGAATCAAGTTGTGTTTGTTCATAAATTTATTTAAATTCATCATTGTATTCACTTCAATCCCACACTGAGAATGGATCAAAGTTCTAAAGTGAAAACAAAAGAAATTGATACATGTGACCTGCGATGGCAGTGTAACTTATTTATTTGTTTATTCGCTAAATTTATTTAAGCTTTATACTCATTTATGTATTCTGTATTTATTTGCCGAGTTGGAGATATTTTAATGTAAAGACATTTATGCTAATATCAGGTAATGTAATCTGTATCTTGACCAATCAACAAGCTGGATTTCCTCGCCTATTATTTGTACATGCTGTTAACCAACAATTTACACGATGCTTACATTTTTTCATAATTTTCAATATTCTGTGAAATATGTGCTGCTGAAATGAAATTAAACGGTATTGATTTTTGAATACCGTAAGTTTTAAATAATCTGAGTGACCGCTTTGGGCATTCAAGTTTGAGAGAAATCAAATGAATGAATTATTTTAAGAATTAAAAACTGTACAAATCTATGTTTCTATTTTTCATGAAACCTGTAAAGTTCCGGATATAAATATTTTAATTCCAATCTTTTTTCTCTGTAAACTAATTCAAATTTGTTATATCTGTATACTTATACGTTAATGTTGAGTTGTGCTGATCGGAGTACGTAAATGGTGTATTCATGTCGAGTGCAGTTTCCCTGTATTTTGGAATTGGGTTAGGGTATTAGGGCATAGGGGGTGCAGCTTGTTGATTGGGGGGGTACAACCAAATCTGATATTGTTATATTATTATTATTGATAATTTATTATTAGAATTCTATTGTTCTTATACTATCTTTTTTTCTTCATTTTTGCACTTTTTTGAGAATTACAATTTTTCAAATCAAGGTCGGATGACTTTATATACAAGTCACGATTACTTTTATAGTTAGACAAATTTTCAAATGATATTTAACAAATAGCACCAAACATATTTATAATGTAGACGTAGTTTTAGCCTTAGCATGCAGTTTGTAGTTTTTGAGATAAAAAAAGATAAAATTAACCAACGATAAAACCTGGCATGATTTACTTTACACTAGTGACTGTACTTATTCTAAATGACGCCTAGTCTTTCAGCTGTGAATGTGCTCAATCATTGCAGAGCCTTATGGGAGAAAAGTAGTACAGATTTACAACACCTGTTTCAATTCACTTGAATGTCGGGATGCAAATTGCACAATATTTTTTTTACATTGAGTGCCATCCCATACTACAGGCTTTGCTGATGGCACTGAAAATAAACGATGTGAATATTTTTGAAAGCTCTGTAGTCTGAGTTCTCCATTTAAGGAAGAACCCTGTCTCTGCCAGGCGACATATATATATATAAATACATAAGTAATCATCTTTTGAGGTCATAGGTCATATTTATTGAACCCTAGATTATTGAAGTTAACTATTTGCAAGAAGAGGAGACTTTTAAAAATTCAAACAATTTTTATTTTTATACCGAGAGATTGCATATACAAGAGACTACGGCATTTTATTTTTAAAATACTCTCAAGATTTGAGTTTATGTTTGATGGCATGTGTACCCACAGTTTTGTAATTTGCTTGTGATGTGATGGTCGGTGATTGGTGATGGTGATGGTGTAGTTACTGTTGTGGTCAAAGATACCTATTCCAATAACAACTTCTTATCTTTTATGCGTATACTAATATCATCGTATTTCACTATGTATGTGTTAACGTGTGGTTCCATCTCGATTGTTAGTCTTTTAAATTGGTCTCACCAGTCCAGGTCGGGTTTTACTTTTTTCCCCATTTCTGTGTTCTAACAGAGTAATTTTGTACACCACATAGTTACTAAGTACACCTTTTGAACACAGTTTACTATGAATCACGTTGTCATGTATTACATCAGTCACTTTTATGGATTTTCGATAACAATGGAAGTTTTTTGATACTTTCATCCGAATTTTTAAAAAATCCAAACTCCTTTCTTGCCAAGGTTATCTTCATTAATTCCAAATTGATGAATTATATTATTTAAAGAGAAAATTTGATGTAGATGAAGAACAACCTGCTGAACCAACTAGCTGAGGTGTGTCAATAGAGGGCGCTAATCAGATTGGTATTCCACCATTTTGGGAATGGTTCAGTGTTGTATAGTTTGATAGCTAGGAGGAATGTAGCCTGTATATTCGCTGAGCTGAGGTTACAGGAAATATTTAAGCAGTAATCTTGATAAGGTACACCTACTTAACAATGATTCAAGTATTAATAAGATAATAAAATTTGACTGCTTAAAATTCAAAGAATAGAGTTGTGTGTTTTTTTCTTATCATTTCCTCTCTGAAAGACTATGAATTTTGTTTGTCATCATTGTATACAAAATACTGGCAACATACAAAGTTAAAGTGTTCATGAAATGCGTGGAAATGTGAACTGAAGCAGTATATGGGTTATATATTATAGTATATTATTCAAAATCGTGCATTGAGGGGCTTTCGTTTTGGTGGGAGAGGTGGCAGCACTTACAAACAACTTGTGTTTCCTGTGTGCCAGTTTTAATGATCAGCGTCTAAACCAGCTTGCTTTGGAGTCTGTTGATGTGGACACAGTAACTCATTCCTATTCATGGTGGATGGACTCTTGATTGAAAAGGGTGGAGTGAAACATGTATGCAACTCATTTCTGTCGCACTACTTACTAACGATACCATATTTGTCCTAATTTAATTGCATTCCAATCGCATATTTCCATCAACTGTAACCACCACACTGGAGATCCAATATCAGCGACTGCCTTTTTGTTTTCTATTAGATAATTCTTTTAAAGAAATAATCGAGTGATTATAAAAGTTAGGCAGTGATATTTGTGTTTTGGTTCCAAGATTAGTTTGTCACGGAAGTGGTTAAAATGTGAATACAAACATAGTGGGAAAGCAAATGTGAAAATAGTGAGTCTTTTTGAAAAACCGCGTACCAATCTGATTTAAATCACTATTTCCGTCGACGTACTATTGATTTATTAAAGCGCGCCCTCAGTTGTCAAAGGTATGCTGGGGACTGCAGACGAAAGTACGCCCTCTACTGATACGCAAGCCAGTACCGCTCCACCGAATCGGTGATGGGTGTATTTGTGTGTGATTACACTCTGAAATTCAAATCAAACGTGAATTGTTGGACAATAAAATTGAACGTTTACAAATAAATTGTTCCTGGGAATTTGCGTCATTCAGTAACTAAATGCAAGTGATGATGTCATAACTTAGGTGGTACCTAACGTAAGCATGTCTGCCACATGCTCCAGAAAACTCAATAGCAATGAAGTCATCAAGGTGAATCAATACACACGTCAAAGTTGAATAAAATAGCCACACTCGCATAAAAGTTTGGTACTCAATATGGAAAATGGAGATTACATTTTAGCCCATAATCATGTTTGGTTGAATGTGAAATAACTTAGCTTTTTTATGTGCGAGTGTTACAAAAGTATTCCCTGACGGACCAATGGTTACGTCAACATGTGAACCTATTATAGTTCACTACATTGCATCTCGGTACGCTGAATAATAAACAAATGAACAGTAACTTTGTTAAAAAAGAAACGTTTTGGGAAGCTTTAAGGAAAGTTCGTTCCACAGAATGGCGACAACAATAGAAAAAAAAGGCATGTCGAGTATTTTCTGAATCTTGTGGTCACGTAGCCTGACAACGTCGCGTGAGTTGCGCTCTCTGCGATGCTCCAGAGGGTCTGATGCCGTTCGGCCTGTGGTCTCGGATCTCCGGAGCTTCGTTTACTGTAACAAGACACCTTCATATCATCTGTGAGGGCGTACTAGCACATATATGGTGGTGGGACTCGTAGCAACCACGACCATCTAAATACTATAAACATTCACCGTGAATAATCTTTAAAATAAAAAAACACAATTTTGATTTCATGCGATTTTCAATGTAGAGCCAATGCAGACGTTTTAGAAATGGTGTAATGCGGTCAATCACTGAGTGACGAGACGAGTCGCAAA